TTATTGTATTATTGTATTTATGTAAAATGTATGTTTTTTGTTAATATGCTTTCTCCGCCGTGTTGTATATACTATTTTTTTAAGCATTTAATTATTCTGAACTTAAATTTAAATTATCGAATATGTCAGGTTTAACATTTGACATATCGACTCATGAAACGAAGACTATAGTAACTCAAAAAACGTGGGTATCAACAGATTTTTTCAAGCTCTATTTGGTGGAAGATTACAGTAACTCAGACATGAAACGATAGGCAACCAGTGAACAACTTCCCTATATAGTAAATGTAATAATCCACATTTCTTCAGGAGAAAACAATATTAAGTTGAGTTACTCTAGTCTACAATCAAAACTGAGTTACAATAGTCTTCGTTGGGTCGATATGTTATATTATGGGATTTATACATGAATTTCTTCTTCAGTGACCTTTAAGTTTACATTTTATTTGCTGATAAACTATAAAATTTCAATGTGTATAATAATTTGACATATGAACTGCCTAAAAATATAAAGTCTTTTTATACACACAGTAAAAAAATATTGATTAATTTTAACCAAATATTAGGACCTTATTTTTATAAACCTTTTTGCAGACCCAGTAAATAAAGTAAAAATTAAATGAAAATAATTTTGTTAAGAAATTTTGCTTTTTTAATCAATTTCCTAAACAAAAAATTAACACATACCTTCATATATGAACACAAAAATAACACACACAATTAAATAACACACCATTCTAAAATCATCAAATTATAAAGAAACTTGGTACAATATAATTATCAGTACTGCTACAACACTTACTGATGTATTTCGTAACTTTAACCCACTTTACTGTATCCTCTTATTTCAGTTTAAAAACTTAAATAGGTATAAGGAATCCGAAAACAATAATAACAGATTTCTGGTAATATATTACAGTTGTTATAAACACATTACGAATTAGAATAAAGTAAGCAGAAACACAAGTTGCAGACGCTGAAGTCAGTTGAACTTGTTGAAATTAAGTGTTCTTTTTCAACGAAATATTTTGTTAAACATTAAAAAATTAATCTGGTATCTTTGAAATTAATAAAATGCATTTCATCTTTACAAAACTTTTTAAAATATTTTCCTTTGTTAAAATAATTACTACCTGGTTTTCTACAAAAAATTATGTTAAAATTTTACAAAATAAAATTAACAAACTACATGCTCATCGAATTTTTATAACCGTTTATGAATATCCTTTTTTCAATAAAATTAATTTAATATATATATTATAATTTAATATACAGGGTGTTATGTAATTAATGTTATATATTAAATTACTGAATACCTTTTGACATAACGTCACCTGAGAATTATAGTGTTCTATCTGCATTTTCTTTTTTTTTATTCAGGTTAGTCTTGTTTTAAGTATTAAAGATGCATATTGTTCTATCTATATATAATCGGGGTAGAAATTGTACAGTTTAAACCTTAAACTTTACAATTTCTGCCCCAATTATATATAGATAGATCAATATCATCTTTAAGACTTAAAACAAGACTAACCTGAATAAAAAAAAGAAAATGCAGATAGAACACTATAATTCTCAGGTGACGATAAGTTGTAATGGAAAAATATTTTAAAAGATATTTTCCCAAAGATAAAGAAAATATATGCATTAGAAGTTTTTTATATTTTTTGTGATACGCCACTGGTTACACACTTGTGTTCTGTGAGTACATAGATACAAACCAACAAAGTAGCTGCGCGTTGCCAGTTGTAAAAAATTGTTACTAAAAAATTTTCTTGCATAAAATAAATAAATACAAAAGTTTTAAGCCCTTAAAGTTCTAATACCATTCTGTATTTATTTACTCATCCAGCTATTAACTTAAGCAATGATAAGAAAAATTAGTACCTATTTAAAAACTCCATAAAATTAATTTTTTCATCGGTTTTTTTCTTTCTGTTTACTCAGATGAAATTAGGACAAGTTCACAGGTTAATCGTTAAACACAGCCCCGGATCTTGAATTTTTTTTAGGCGGGGCAAAAACTGAAAAATGCCGCCCCCGCCCATATATATATAAATATATATGGGTGTTTCATTTTTAGGCGATATTTTTTTTCTTTTTCTTGTAGGGAATCAAATTTGCTACAAAAAAGTTCCCTTGAGCAAACGCTTTCCGACCAACAGTTTTTGAGTTGTAGAGCTGGAAAGGTAAATGTTAATGTTAATTAACAACAAATTTCCTTTAAATTGAAATTTATTGATAGGTAAAAATAAACGCGTATGCAAACTTTTAAAGAACAAAATTGGAAAAAGTTTGTTGAATTTTGCCTGCCGGCCTCATATTTGTAAGCTGGTTTTACGTTGTGTTTTCCAAATATACTGGCCAACAACTTCAGGCCCAAATGTACCAATATTCAAGTTTCAACAGAAATGGCCAAGAATAAATAAAAATAATTATAAAACAAGATTGGATGACCACATGGTAGCCTCGATTATACGTGATAAAAAAGATGGTATTCTGCATCGCCTCCGTGGTATAAAATAGAATTCTAATTCAATTTAAAGGAAATTTGTTGTTAATTAACACTAACATTTACCTTTCCAGCTCTACAACTCAAAAACTGTTGGTCGGAAAGCGTTTGCTCAAGGGAACTTTTTTGTAGCAAATTTGAAACGCCAAAAAATTGAGTTGAAGCCGAAAAAAAACTTTTTCCCGTGTAATTTATATGGGAAATCGGGAAATCGGGAAATTTTTGAAAGAGTGAAGCCTCTAATTTACTTAGAATTTTTTTTTCAACGGAAATATATTTTTTTATATTTAAATTATCAGATTTTTAGGTATGACAGAAAGAAAAAAAATATCGCCTAAAAATGAAACACCCTAATATATATATAGCAAGTACTATAATTAGCTGTTGTGGTCAGATTTTCATAAAGTTTAAAATACACTTCGCGTCAAATTTAACGCACCACTAAAAAATTTCCACAATTTCAAAGTTGATTTTCTCGCGAACCGAAAAACCGAATTTTGTGATTTTTTTTATTAAATTGTAGGTTAATTCTTCGGTAATAATACGTTTATTGAAATATTTTTTTAAATTTACATTTTGAGTATATATACAGGGTGCATGAGTGATAATAAGTTTTTTCCCGGAAATTTGAAACGCCCTGTGGCTTGTACCAGCTTTAACAGCCTATGACTCATATAATTAAACTGTAGCCCTATATTTTCTTAACATTTTGGTTTTTGATTCACGTCGCTATCTATTCTGCTAGATATACGGTTAAAGACAAAATAACTCCAGTTTAATGTAAACTGTCATTTTCATTTAAGTTGTCTGCATAAAGTTATTGTAATGGAGCGCCAAGTGAGAAATTTGAATCGTCATGCATGAATGTGTAAGAATTAGCAAGGATAAAGCTACCGTGCCATAGTTGATATGGCCACAGTAAAACAAGAGTGAAATTTCTGTACTTGTACTATTATTTATTCTGTGGTCAAAGTTAAGTAAATGATGAGTTGTCCATTCGTCATTCGTCTGTAAAGTGTGAATTTGGCCGCCCTCTGAACTTGCCGCCCGGGGCATGGGCCCCGGCTTGCCCCCCCCTAGATCCGCCACTGGTTAAACATTCAATTTGTGTAAATAAATCCAAACGCCCAAAAGCACTTTCCTTAGTTAAGATATTTACAATTTGAGCACATAACCTACAATTTTTTGACAGAATGTGTTACCAACCAACATAATAAATTAAACCAGATTAACTTAAAGTAAAGTAAATCATTACAAATTATGAATAAAGTTTAAATCTGTGTGTCTAAATTGAAATATATTTTTTATAAGTATGTTTTTAAATCACAATGTTAAAACGATTTTTTTAAAATCATTAGTGTACAAATTTTTACAAGGTCTAATTAGTGATCTAGCGATTTCAGGTTTTTATTTTTTTCAAGTTTTTTCAGGTTTTTATTCTTTTATAAATATTTTGAAAGTTTGAAAATTTGTATTTTATTAGTAATAATAATAAGTAATTAGTGCGAAAGATTTTATGCTATGGCGGGTCGGGCGCTCACAAATATTCAATTAACAAATATGGTTTTGTGTTACGGGGAAGCGATGCAAAATGCTCGTCAAGTAAGAATTTTGTTGGTAGGTATATTCAAAATTATCACAACGCCAATCACGGACATCCACCGCCCTCGGAGCAAAGTTTTGTACGTGCTGTGCAAAATTTAAGGGACCGCGGAAGATTTAGCGCATTTGTTGGTGATAGGGGTCGGGCTCAGGGACGTGAATTTGTGGCCCTTGAAGAACAAATTTTGGACGAAGTGGAAGCAAATCCGAGAATTAGTACAAGACGATTAACTGCCCAACTTGGACAAATGTCCAACTTTGTTACGTGGCGCACGATTCACAAAAATAGTTTGTACCCTATCACCTACAAAAAGTTCAAGCTCTTCAGGATGGAGATTATGCACTGCGGTTGGAATTTTGCCATTGGTATATACAGAAAAATCAAGAAGATGCTGATTGGAGCCATAGTGTTTTGTATACCGATGAGGCCACATTACGAGAGACGGGATTTAGGCAGCAACTCAGGAACTTAATTGTAAATAGTCCAGACATTTTTACGCGAGTTTAAGCTTGCATTCTAAATAATGAAATCATTTTGAGCATCTCAAATAAGGTAATACATTTTTAATTTTACATTTGGCAACACTGCATTAAAAAGTAATAGGTAAGGTTAATCCGCGGTTCCTAGTCGATCAGTGGCGTACTTTTTGGTAGGATAAAGGTTATTATAAATTATTTTTAGTCTTTGGAATTTCAGGTGCTTCTTTATGGACCCTAAGGAACTACCCATTTTAATATATAACATTAATTACATAACACCCTGTATATATATATTAATTTTAAGAATACAAAAATTGACAAAAACATAAAATTTAATAAAAGCGGTTTTAGACTATTTTGCACATTTATAACATTTTTGTAAAAAAAACCTTTTCTGTGTTTCCAGATCTCATTTTTCGAGCAATGTCTCCAACAACCCCGCCAAGATAACGCCATTCGACCACCATTCCACCAGGATGTTGAGATGGCTGGGCCCCAAGAAGCCGGCCGAACCGCCCGACCGACGCACGCCGCTGGATGCCGCCGCGGGGGCGGGCATTTTGGGTGACGGCCACGTCACCGACGACCCTCTGGCCGCCATATCGCTGCCCATGGCGGATCCCCGGAGAAAAAGGGGGGCGCCCAGGCAAATCTACTCCGTAAGCAGGTAAGAAGGCACGAGATTTTTAAAGTTAAAAAAGGGTTGTTAGGTGCTAAAAAATTACCAGGAATGTAAAAAATTTAAAAAATTGGGTACTTAAAACAGTGAATTTTAATGCTTTATTATAATTTTAAAAACTATAAAATAGAAATACTTTCGGTAAGTAACTTAACATTTTTTAATAATTTTACATTTTGCCAAAATTGATTATATATATACATATACAGGGTGATCCCCTATAATGTCGCCACCCTTTAACTTTTTTATTTTAAGTGTCTCAAAAAATTTAAAAGTGTGGTTATGTAGGTACTAAAAAAAATGAAAAATTGATCAATATACAGGGAAAAAGAAAAGTTTATTTTTTTTCAATGGATCACCCTATATATGAATTTATTTTTAGATTCCTTGTAAAATTCTGAGCATAATTCATATAACAAACCATATCCTAAATTCAACTGTTTCTGAAATATTCGCATTCGAAATGTTAATATTAAATGTTTTTTTAAACTGTTAGAAATCAAGAAGCCACAATTTACCAAAATTTTTATTGAAAATAAATTATTATAGTGACATTAAGTCAATATGTCTTGTTAAATAAGTAAAAATGGCCTACTCAGACAGAGAAAGACAAACTATTTCAACTTTTATCTTAAAAACAAAATGTAAAATTATTAAAAAATGTTAAGTTACTTACCGAAAGTATTTCTATTTTATAGTTTTTAAAATTATAATAAAACATTAAAATTAACTGTTTTAAGTACCTAATTTTTTACATTTTTTAATCCCTGGTAATTTTTTTAACACCTAATAAACCCTTTTTTAAGTTTGTTTTTCCCTGTATACTGATCAATTTTCCAATTTTTTTTTATACGTAAAAAAAAGTATTTTTTAGTACCTACTAGGGTGGGTCAAAAAATCGACTATTTTTATTTTGACTTCTGCCACTGAAAAATCGGTTTCTGGGCACCTTCAAAACATGCTTAGCAATGATGAGCTCTTAACTTTGATGGGAAGATCCGCCTCATTACAGTTTTGCATATTTTTCTTAGTCCCCTACAAAAAAATTCATATCTCATCATTCGTTAATCATACAGCAAAACTCTAGGAAAGTTATTTGTAGAAAATTAAATGTTCTACAAAAAAGATCTCTTATACTCTTTTGATCAATCTAACTATTAAAGAGATATTCAAGGTCAAAGATTGAAGAATTTTAAGAAGTAGTATGAACTGACATTCCAATGCGAATATCTTTTGATTGGTTAGAGTAATCGATAAATCCTAAGAGACCTTTTTTGTAGAGCGTTTAATTTCCGATTGACATAGTAAAATCTCAATTGTCGATAATTTTTTTTCAGTAAGTTACAAAATTCAGAACAGAAAAGTTATCTTTCTTAAAATTCTTCAATCTTTGACCTTGAATATCTCTTTAATAGTTAGATTGATCAAAAAAGTATAAGAGATCTTTTTTGTAGAACATTTAATTTTCTACAAATAACTTTCCTAGAGTTTTGCTGTATGATTAACGAATGATGAGATAAGAATTTTTTTGTAGGGGACTAAGAAAAATATGCAAAACTGTAATAAGGCGGATCTTCCCATCAAAGTTAAGAGCTCATCATTGCTAAGCATGTTTTGAAGGTGCCCAGAAACCGATTTTTCAGTGGCAGAAGTCAAAATAAAAATAGTCGATTTTTTTGACCCACCCTAGTACAGTTGTATTCATTAAAAAAGCGTACAAGAATTAGAGTGAGAGAAAACTGTCAACATTATTGCGTAAAACCGGCTTTCCACTGACTTAAGTCACTCTAACTGACAGTAGAAAATAAAAATGCCTCGTCAGTTAAAAAGGCTCAAATAGTATCAAGAATCGAAGAAGAATGGTCAATTCGTACCGTGGTATAATAGAAATAAAAAATCTATATTAAAAATTAATAATTTTTGTAATATTATTTAATTAACCTATAGTAAATTTAAAAGTATAGTAAATTTAAAAGTAAACTACGTACACGTCATCAATCAGCTGATTGGGCACGGTTGTCAATGTGATGCTAAAATCCTTGCATTAAGGGAAAGTGGTAGTGCAACTACAGGGCGATAGATGCCGTTTACATGAATAATACCAAAATGTCAAAAGTCTGAGTTTTTATAACCTATATGATGCACCGCCAAAAGTATGTTTTTAGCCATTTTTAAAGACATTTTCTGATATAAAACCCAAAAATTTTGCCATCTAAAGTCAGTCTCTGGTATATATATTACTATTTCATGTATCCAACATATATTTTGTTAAATATTCTAATATATAATTAATAATAATCCTATTTACCTCTCTAACAGCTGTTTAAGGTAACAAAGGTCCATTATTATCCCGTTCTGCCTCAAAATAGCGTATTAAGGATGACACCAACTCTTGACTCCACTATTTAAATGCTTCGGCATTTTAAATATAGGAAACACAAAAAACGATATATAACAAACACAAAAACGGCAATGAAAACTTAAACGATATAAAATAACACAAACAACAAACAAAATAAACGAAATAATACACGAATTAACTATGATTTCGCGAAAGAATCGAACGATCGATTTACAACACATCTCAGATTTTTTTTTAATTTTAATATTTTGTTTATACATCCAATTTAACACTCAATCTAAAATTTTTCTTTCATCTGACTTAAACTTTAGCTCCTAGAAACTATTTAATTTTGCCTTTTACAAAAAGGCCAAATTCCATTATTTTGGCATACATTTTTTATTAAAATACTGAATGATTTGAAATTTGGCCCATGTATGACCCCTATTAGTACCTACAATTGTGTCAAAAAAAAGTTTTAATTTTTTACATACAGGTGGCGCTGCAATTTTTTTTTCTTCGAAAGTAGACGTTTTTTTAAGACAAAAAATTCTCTTAAGCAACAATGTTCAAAAAAACTAAATAGCGTACCAGATAATATAGATATTCCTTTATAATTCGACATATAAAAATTTACTTGCAAATGATGTTGCCGCCCGTAAAGCCAACTTAAAGTTTGGTCTACCGCATTAAAAAAAATTGAATTACACTTTCAACTCTATCCTTATTTTTAAACTAAGGAACTCCAGGTGATGGCTTTTATTGGTAACTAAAACGCAACAAAAAAAAGTTTTATTTTTTATATACAGGGGGCGCTGCAGCCTTTTTTTCAAAAATAGACGTTTATAAAGACCATAAAGTTACTTAAGCAACATTGCTTAAAAAAACTAATGACATTATTTATAATGTATCAGATAATATAGATATTCTTTTATTGTTTGACATATAAAAATTTATTTGCAATAATTAATGCCTGTTGTAGGGACGATTAAAATTATAACTAGTGCACGTACCCGAATATTGTTATATAAACGCCTTTTTTCGCTTTTATTGTTGTATGCGGACAAAAGGTAACAAAACCAAAGAAATTTTAATTACAAATGGTAACAAGTATTTCAGTGACTCTATAGTAATAGTAATAGTAATATGACCATTTGTTTAAATATATTTTAGTATATTTCGAGAGGCAAAGCATTCTTTATTATCGTACTTTAAAATTAAACTAAAGTCAAGCCTATAGGCTGGGAATCAAGTTACCCCAACAGTTGACAGTTACTGTCAAACGGTAACCATAATAACATTTAAAATTTTGCCGTTATTACAAAAGTTGAAATTGGAGAGGGAAAATATCATGCTTTTAAAGGTACGCAAAGTTAATAAATTTTCTTTAAGTAAATCAAAATTCTAGGAATTGAATTTTCTTCTGGAGTAAACATGAAAGTTCCTTGGACATCATCGAGTCGACAAAAGGAAAATCTAAATAATTTAAAAGCAATTAAATATAGGTGCGACGAATTACTTTGCAGTAGGGTTTTTGAAAATGAAGATGATCTTCTAAACCACCTTAAATTTCAAAATCATAAATTTCCTGAAATTAGACAAACTATAGGTGATGTTGCTAGAATGGAATTTTTAAAACAAAAAGATGTTTTAACTGCAACTAGTTCAACAATATCTACCGTCAATATATGCCCAAATGAAGAAGATAAAAATACTTTTTTTCGAGTATATGCAAAAGGGTTCGGAAGGCGCAAAATTAAAAAATCACGTTTTAATGAAAAACAAAAAGATTTTGTTGGCAACCTTTTTAAAGAAGGTGAAAAAACTAACTTTGTTTTTCATTAAAACGTGATTTTTTAATTTTGCGCCTTCCGAACACTTTTGCATATACTCGAAAAAACGTATTTTTATCTTCTTCATTTGGGCATATATTGACGGTAGATATTGTTGAACTGCTTTACAAAATTATGAAGTAAATGGCAAATTTTAGTTTTCTTCAAACGAGTATATGCATCCTAATCAGATACGGGGCTTATTATCAAGATTATCGTCAGATAGAAGGTTAAACAAAAATAGAAAAAGAAAATTAAAAAATTTGCCGGAAGAAATTGAAGAATTTAGCCCAGAAGCGGATGAAGTTTTTTGAAGTTTTATGAGTTTTAAAGTAGTTCCTTTGCGGCCTAAGTAACTTTTAAGTTATAAATATATTTCTTTATTATTTAACATAATATAACATAAAGATATATCCTAATAATTATTATAATAATAATAATAATTATTACCTTTACATTAAATTTTAAACTTGTTGGGCTCTAAGGGGTATATTCGCTAACTTTTTAGTTATAAATAACCATGGTTTATATCATACTGGCTGGTTCAAATCTCTAGAGCGATTTTCAGAATCAGTCTAGAGATTTTAACCCTGCAGGGTTATTTATAACTTAAAAGTTACTTAGGCCGCAAAGGAACTACTTTAAAACTCATAAAACTTCAAAAAACTTCATCCGCTTCTGGGCTAATTTCTTACTATAGTAATATCAATATCAATTTCTTACTATAGTAATATCAATAATAATAATAAAGAAAAACATAATAAATAAAATAAAGAACAAACCTATTAAATAAATAAAGGAATACGTAACTCTTT